ATGGTGATCTAATAGCTGACAAGCCAGCAGAAAAAAGGAAGGGAAAATGTTTTAGGGCAGAGGCAACAGCACATAAAAATGTCTTTTCTGAAGCCAAAATAAATGTATCAGATTTATCCAGATTTATGCAGATGTTCCCATAAAGGTCCAAAATATCTAAAATCCATGTGAATGCAGACAGCTCGCTTTTTTTTATGTTCCTCGCAATGGTCAATTAAAAGAGTCTGTGCTTATAATTGAACGGGTGGTTAAGTGCATATGGAGGCTATATGCAGACTTATTTTCCTTCCCCTCACCCAGATATATTTATTTGTTCAGATGACTTCATTTCTACAAATGTATTTTTCATGGTTGCAATGAGAACCTATAGTATTTCTATGTAACAGTAGGTTATAAATATTTAAAAATTAGGTTAATTTATTTTTTAAAATATATTTTTATTGATTTCAGAGAGGAAGGGAGAGGGAGATAGAAACATCAATGATGAGAGAGAATCATTGATTGGCTGCCTTCTGTATGCCCCGTACTAGGGATTGAGCCTGCAACCCGTGCATGTGCCCTTGACTGAAATTAAACCTGGGACCCTTTAGTCTGCAGGCTGATACACTATCCACTGAGCCAAACAAGCTAGGGCAAACGTTGTCTTTTTAAATGTAGTGTTCATAGTTATACTTTTTGTGACTGCATATTATGAATAGTATTAATGTTCCACAATTTATTAAACTATTTCTTAACATTGGATATTTGAAATTTTAAAATGAGTTTAGATAAAAATACAGGTAATTTAGATGACTTGATTCAGTTAGTAATTCTATATTATGTTTTAAAAATGTCCACTTTCTTATTGCTCTTATGTTTAATTTACTTGGTTATTTTTGTATAATTTAGAAGGTAATTATAATGTATTGTACATTTAATATTTGATAAGAGTATAGATCTCATGTTAAGTGTTTTATCACACTGAATTTTAAAAAATGCAGAAAGAATATTTTTATGGAACAGACTGACAAATATCAGGGGAGGGGTGGGGGGGGATTGGATAAAAGAAGGTGGAAGGATTAGCTAAAGAACATATATGCATATCCCATGGACACAGCCAATAGTGGAGTAAGGGCCAAGAGAGGGGGTGTGGGGACTGGGTGGAGGTGGGCAAATGGGAGGAAATGAGGGACATCTGCAACAACAGCTCAGAGAGATATCTAAACTTCCATGTTCACTGCAGCATTACTTACAATAGCCGAGGTATGGAAACAATGTAAATGCCCATCAATGGATGAATGGATAAAGGAAATGTGCTATATACATATTATGGAATATTATTCAGCCTTTAAAAAGATGGAAATCTTCTCATGTGTGACAACATGGAGGAGCCTGGAAAATATTATGCTAAAATAAGCCAATTGCAGAAGAGCAAATACTGCATGATTCCATTTATATGAGGTTTCTAAAATAGTCAAACTCATAGAAAGAATGAAATTACTGGTTGCCAGTGCCTGGAGGCAGGAAGAAATGGAAAGTTGTTATTCAAGTTAGGGAGGGAATAAAACCTCTTAACTAAATGCCAGGTGGGTAATTAATCACTTTAACTACGAACAATCATGCTTAAGCTACATAATCTTTACTCCCTGGAATGGAGATAAGAAACGCCCTAACCTTTGAAATAGAGATTGATAGGATTGGAATCAACTGGTATAAATACAGATGTAAGAAGACAGAACGAGGAGAGACGGAACCTAGGCACAGAACCTACACAGAACGTTCTCTAGAGACAGAAGAACTTCGCTGGAGAGAACATGGCAAAAGTTCCTGGACAGAAACTGGCCTCAGAACCTAGAGACAGAACCTAGCGAGAGAACATGGCAAAAGATCCTGGACTGAACCTGACTACAGAAATTGGCAAGAGAACCTGACTAGAACCTGGTGACTGAACCTGACTGGAGAACCTGGACAGAACCTGGCTGGAGAACCTAGCGAGGGAACATGGCTACAGAACCTGGCTGGAGAACCTGGATGGGCATAAAATTTCTGTTATATAAAGTGAGTAAGTTCTAGAGATCTGCTGTGTAACATTGTGCCTATAGTTAACAATACTGTACTTTGCACTTTAAAGTTTAAAAGGGTAGGCCTGGCTGATGTGGCTCAGTGATTGAACATTGACCTATGAACCAGGAGGTCATGGTTCAATTCCTGGTCAGGGCATATGCTGGGGTTCCAGTCTTGATCCCCAGTGTGGGGCATGCAGGAGGCAGCCGATCAATGATCCTCTCTCATCATTGATGTTTCTATCTTTCCCTCTCCTTTCCTCCCTGAAATAAATAAAAATATATTTTAAAAAAAGTTTAAGAGGGCAGATCTCATGTTAAGAGTTCTTATCACAATTAAAATGAAAAAGAGAGGGAGTAAAAAGTTGCAAACTTCCAGCTATAAAATAAATAAGTCATGAGGATGTAATGTACATTATGACAACTATAGTCAATAATACTGTATTGTATATGTAAAGGTTGCTAAGAGAGTAAATCTTAATTCTCATGACAAGAAAAAAATTTGGTAACTGTGTGTGATGATAGATGTTAACTAGGCTTAGTGTAATTATCATTTTGCAATATATAAATATCAAATCATTATCTGTACATCTAAAACTAAATAATGTTGTATGCTAATTATACCTCAATAAAAAATTTAAAGAGGGGAATAAGGAAAGATATAAGGCACCATTTTGCTGGCAAGGATCATAGCTCAGGGATTAAGATTTTTGTAGTAAGGAGCTTCTTGGTTTGGTGGCTTTTTGATTTTGGCAGTAAAATGCTGTGGCTAGAAATTGTTCCTGAAAGCTTCATCTACTTCTTCAACCATTCCAACAATTTTGGAAACCGCAGACGGCATGACAATAACACGTTTTGTTTAAACAAACAAACAAAAAGGCCAAATAAAGTAATATTAAACATTCTAAAAAAGAAAAGTGGACAAGAATAGAGGATGCAGAATTACACATACACACATGCACAACATAGCCCATGTTCAATTGATTTTCCACAGACAAAAATTCAACAAGAAAACAAAACAGCAACGGAATAGTTATATGTACTATAAAATTTGTAAAAGTAATATGCTAGACATACATGTGCTAGCTGAAACTATAAAGCTTTTAGAAGAAAGCATAAGAAAGTGTCTTCACAAACTTGGGGAAGGCAGGTATTTCTAAAATAGGACCCAAAAGTCATTACCAAAAAGAAAAACAATGATAAAGTGGATTTCATTAAAAAAAATTCTTCTGAACAAAAGATAACAATGAGAAGTTTAAGTCAAAATTAGGAAGAAAATGTTAACAATAAATATATCTGTCAAAGGAATTATCTCCAGAATATATATACAATAAACTCAGAAAAAGAAAATAGTTCAATTAAAATTGGTAAATTCATTTTTTTTGTTGTTGTTGCTAATCCTCACTCGAGGATATTTTCCCATTGATTTTTAGAGAGAGTGGAAGAAAGAGGAAAAGACAGAGAAATATTGATGTAAGAGAAGCACATCGATTGGTTGCCTCCTGCATGAGCCCTGACCAGAGCCGGGCCGGCTGGGAAGGAGTCTGCAACCAAGGTACATGCCCTTGACTGGAATTGAACCTGGGACCCCTTAATCCACAGCCAAGACTCTATCTATCCACTGAGCCAAACTGGCTAGGGCAAAATAGGCAAATTCTTAAAATAATACTTCACAATGAAGAGAGCCAAATGGCCAGTAGTCTATGAAAAGATACTCATCATCATTTTATGCTGAAAGTACAAATAAACATTGCTTCAGAAGCTGGGATCTCTGGGTTCAAATTCCAAATTTGAACTCCATCACATATTATCTGCATGAACTCACACCAGTTACTTAAACTATGTGACTTAGTTTCATCATTGGAAATAGAATAATAACAACCCTACTTCATAGAATTTTTGAAGATTAGAAAAATATATATTTATAATTCACAATAAGTACTTAATGCTAGTCATTACAAATAACTAAAATTTGAGAACATAAATTTAAGGCTAAAGAAATCCAAGGTGAGGCCATGGGAATGGATGTGAATGAACCAGAATGAAGGAAGTTCATAGAGCTATCTACCCTTTTATATGGTTTCTTGGAAGAATAATGCCTGGCATATTTGAATGCTCAAAATTTACTGAATAAATGAATAAATACAAGAATAGCCACAAAGAAAAAAATTCCTTCATACAATCATTGTTTAGCAAATACCTTATTTTGGGGAAATTAGCTTGTTAACATATCTTTTTCTGGTTGTTCTCTGTTTGTCACAACTCTCAAGGTCCTTCTCTTCTCTGCCCTGTTTAAAAAGGCTAGCTTCTGAAAACGGAATCATTCAGTCTCCCCTGCCCTCTTGCTTCCAGTTGGATTTGGCCAATGGGAGACAGGGCAAGAGATGGGAGGAAACAAGCAGAGAGAGGTTGGGGTAGTTATCTCCCTGTATCTCTTTGCATGGTCATAGTTTTGCCAATAGTTGCTTTTTTATTTTTCTAAAGTCACAGTTCTGACCAAGTGTTTTTTCTTGGTAGATGTAGCTTTCACTGATCTCCAATAATACTGTACCTTCTTTTCGCCTGTGAGGTCTAGGGGTTATAATGGCCCCCTGCTATTGCTAGTATGTAAGAGTGCTGCCACCTCTTATTAGTTCCCACTCACATACCTCTGCATATAATCTCTTTATTACATTTTCTAAATTAAAATCTACTGAATGACATATCTGCTTCCAGTTGATACCTGAGATGCAGTCTTATAGTTGTCACTTTCTATTATGTTATGCTCATTTGTTAATTTTTTTTTTCTAGAAGAAAAATTACTGAGTCTACTAAAATGGTAGAAACATTATCAAGGTCTCTGGTGCCCATAGCTAAACAGTACCCAGACAATTTATACTATTTTTAAAGGTCAGTTTTAACATCAACTGAGAGAAATCTTAGTTGTATGGGGATTTGCCTGATAGGTTGTACTCTCCCCTAGTTTCTCTGAGAGAGACAACTCCTGGTAAGAACTCTCCCTATGGCTCCCTTCATCTCACTATTCCTCAGAGTATAGATAAGTGGGTTGAGCAGTGGGGTTCCTAATGTGTACACCAGTGAGATGAACTGATCTTGCTTGGGGGAGTAGCTGGAGCTGGGGCGGAGGTACATGAAGGCGCAGCAGCCATACTGCAGCAGGACCACAGTGAGGTGGGCGGAGCAGGTGGAGAAGGCCCGGTGGCGGCCAGCTGCTGAATGGATCTTGAGCACAGCAGCCACAATGAAGCTGTAGGAGGTGGCGATGAGGAGGAAAGGCACGGCGATGGCTAGTGTGGCCGCCACCAGCACTGACTGCTCATGGATGTGGCTGCTGGCACAAACAAGGCGCATCACTGGTGGCACATCACAAAAGAAGTGATCGATACCCCGAGTCTGGCAGAATGGCAGAGAGAAGATGAAGGCCACCAGCTGTAAGGACAGGACCAAGCCGATGACCACGGAAGCTACAACCAAGCGAACACAAAGAGTTAAAGTCATGATGAGAGGGTACCGCAAGGGATAGCAGATAGCAACATAACGATCATAGGCCATCACAGCCAAGAGGAAGCAATCGGTACTGCCAAGTCCGATGAAGAACACCATCTGAGTGGCGCAGCTCAGGAGGGTGATGGTTTTCTCTGACTGTAGGATGTTTGCCAGAATGTGAGGCACCACCACTGCAGTGTAGCATATTTCTACTCCCGAGAGGCTGCCCAGGAAATAGTACATGGGTGTGTGTAGGCGGACTTCAGTCTGGATGGCCACCACAATGAGGACATTCCCACTGATGATCAATGTATATACCAGGCTGACTCCAAGGAAGGACAAGGCACCCAGCTCAGGGTAAGAGGGATAAGCCAGGAACACAAACTCCATCAACACTGAGCGATTTCCCCAGGTCATTGAGCTAACAGGTTTTGTCTGTCATGAGTTACAAGAACAGAAGAAATAATCAAACTGACAATATATTAGTTCACACCATGAGCCATGATCTAATCTCACCAGAGTTGGAGTTACAAACTAGAAGAATCAGGATTAATTTTTAAAAATGTATCTTTATTATCGGAAGTATTACAGATTCCCCTCCTCCATTACCCTCTTCTACCCCCCACTCCCCTGCAGGATTAATTTTTTAATTTCCCTTTTACAACACTCTTCACAACATAAAAATCTACAACTTAATTTCTAACTGCCAAAAGTTGGGCTAAATTATGTAGGAATTTTTTTGAGGAAAAGAGGCAGAGGAAGTTTGTGGAATTCAAAGCCATTTTCAGTACAAGTGAAATAAAAATTAAATACTTTCAGTAAATCCATAAGACAGTGTCAAGAAATTCTTGATAGCAGGAGTCATTAAGGTGAGGGTGGGAAGCTTCCTTCCTTCCTTCCTTCCTTCCTTCCTTCCTTCCTTCCTTCCTTCCTTCCTTCCTTCCTCCTTTCCTCCTTCCCTCCTTCCCTCCTTCCCTCCTTCCTCCTTCCTCCTTCCCTCCTTCCCTCCTTCCCTCCTTCCCTCCTTCCCTCCTTCCCTCCTTCCTTCCTTCCTTCCAAACAAAAGAAGTGTGGGACTTGAGGGAAACACAGTGTTATTATAGGACTCATCCTGGCTTGTCGCAAGATGAGAAATATGTGCTCATAAGCTATTGCAGATCTAAGAATCCCTTCTGTGAATTAGGGGATGAATAGGAAAGACGAAGCCAGTCTTCATTTATTTTTCTTCTCTACTAAGGAGATAATTTGAAGTTCAAAAAATGATTCAGCTTCCTTGAAAACCTTCTAATGAAGAAATATAACTCTCACAGGGCATCCATTCTACTTGTCAATGACCAACTCATATTAAAGAAGGTAGAAAATAGGCATCATGTGACCTTGTTTCAACTTTCCCACTTTGAATATTATTTTTATGAGCTTTGAAGAAAAGTCTTAATCCAGAATTATGACTTGCAGTAAAAAATCATTCACAAAACCCCACCTTGCTGTCACAAGCATAGGGAGAAATGTGATTAGTCACTGTCCTTAATATTAAGAGTACTGTAGGCATGAACGGCTGGGTCTCTGTTGTTTTTCCACAGTTAACAAGTAGAATCCATTTAATCCATTCTTTTTTCCTCTTCAACAATATTTTGAATTATTTCTAATGTCACTGAGCATAATTAAAATTATATTACAACATGCAGAGGAGGGGCAGTGTATCAGTGTTGAAATTAAATGATGTGGCTTGAAAAATGGGGACAATAATTATGCTTAGTTCTGAGGGTTGTTGTGAGGATTAAATGAGATTATAATATAAAGTATCTACCATAATGCCTAGTCCATAGTAACAGCAACCTAATAACAGGTAGACAAGATTATTATTTGTAAATTCAAAGGCAGCCATCCTCTCTTATTTATGTTTCCCCCCTATATCACCAAACCTAATGTACAAATTATGGAAATTTAATAAATAAATGTCACATGTATAAATATATTGTAAAATATGTAATTTATACTTTTTCATTTTCTCTTTTTTACTTTTAAGATTATTAAGAGGCCTTATAGAAAACAACTTAGCATCCAATCCTTGGGCTGCACTGTGGAAAAAATCCCATCACTCATTAACATAACATATATAATTTAATTATATGTATAATTAAAGCTGTGAATAAGTGCTGTAACAAAAAAATAGTGTGTTGTAAGGTTGTACTACATGGGACTCTGACATAGTTTGTGACTAAAGGACACTAAAAAAGCTTCCAAGAAGAAGTGATGTTAAGTTTAGGTCTGAAAAATGGAAATTAATTATGAGAAGAGAGATAGAGTAATGGGGGTTCATATTCTGGATAGAAAAATAGTGCTTTTTATGATTCTGAGAGAGTGACAGTTATATAAACATAAAATCAACTTGTTATTCTAAGTTGTTAGTAAATATGTTGAATAGAACAGAGACAGGACCAGACAGCTCTTCGGCATCATATCCAGGAATCTTCCCCAGGCTGGTATCTGTTCATGATTCCAAGCCCATCTCGTGCTTCCAAGTCATATCCCACAATATGTCCTCATCTTCTTTCTTACCTCTACAGCCAGACCAGCCCCAGTTGGCAAGAATGTGATGAGAAACATCATCCTTGTTTATTCTGGAAATAAGAGAGTCTGGGCTGAACAGCTTGTCCAATTCTCTAGTTAGCATTTTGTAAAAAAAGGGAATTAGTGTATTCAGCAATAACAGGCCCAAGGTAGCATCTCAATTTATTACTAATAGCTTTGTTCCCTGAGCAGATCATCTCAAATTAATTTCTCTTCTAGAGTGTTTGAAAGATGTAAGTAAACAATAACACTTAATGGAGTTGTGATGAGATTAAATGAGCTAATGTAGTTAGAACACTTGGCTTGATGTATGAAACCTATTGTGTTACATAATAAATATTAATTCTTCCCTCCTTTCTTTGACTCTTTTAAGGGGATGATATTAATAATATCTGCTTCATAGCAGAGGATAAATAAGATATCTTATGCAAGAAGAGTTTCCATTTATCCTTAAACATTATCATAATTTATTTTAGTCATTCCCTCAATCTTTCTTAGACTGGGATTATTACCTTTTAAAAAATATTCAAATCAGTATTATGCTCATTGTTTGAAAATGGGGATTATTACCTTTTTAATCAGAAGACTAGACCTTCCAAGTGAATTAATAGAAACACTGTAAGTCATGGGCTGAGCTGGTTCTGAAATCCTAGAGTCTCCACTTGTAAAGCCCATTACTTGCTTTCCTAGCCCAGCATCAGCAAGTGCCTAGTATGTTGTAAGGAAGTAAAAAAACTTACTCTTACCTTTGGTATGAGAAGAAAGAGAAGTATACCAAACCAACCTTCTCAGTTATATTCTAAAAGACAGGACGTAGTAAGTGATATCTGACTACTCTGTTGGATATATTTAAAGAAGGAACATGAGCCTAGAGAGACTATTCAGAGAACTGAAATTTTATGTAAACTTCCTAAATGAAAAGCAACGGAAGGAGTCAATTACTTTGCTATCTAGGGTCTTATCTCATAGGTTCCATCTCCCAGAAGAAGGTAGTATAGTAATTGCTGATCTCCTCCCATGTTAGCAGATAATTAGTTCAAACTAAAACTGTCCCTACACTTGGGGTTCCTGGTCAATAGACAATCTGGGGAATGCTTTTCAAAGTAAAGGCCAGTATTAAACCCTCAAGTGACATTATTGGTGCTTGACATAATTTCCTGAGAAATATGAAGTTCCCTAATCAAGGTCACCTGAGACTCCTGTTTCAAGGAGTTTATTCCCATCAGATTGTCATAGCCGGGTTTAGCCCAAATCCCATCCTAGAGAACTGAGACTATATTTTTATATGGTTTCCATAGGACTTAGAGTATTGCTGTATACTTAATAGCACCTCAATGAATATTTATCAAATGTTTTATATTTTTGATGGCATCTTTCCTTGCTTGAATCTCTTTGAGTAGAGACACTCTTATAGGTCTTAGCAAATTTGTTTATTCCTTGAAAAAATATTGGTTGGTCATGTGTATATAAATTTTTATAAGTTTGTGAGTGAATATATGCTCCCATGTTCCCCATTTACTCAAAGACAGTCCTCTGTGTGGATCTCTAGAGTGATTAATGTAGCTCTTTGGGATGTGTGTGTGTGTGTGTGTGTGTGTGTATACAAGCGCACGCATACGCGCGCACACAGGATAGTAAGATGCCAACAGCCTGGCAGGGTTGAGCAGTAACATCTGGATTGGTGTTTGACTGATTCTGAACTGACACTAATTGCAGACATCCAAAAGTCACTGTAGTTCTCCAGTCAGAATAGGTGCTTATGGATGCCATGTAATCAGTGGAGTTTTTAGCTTAGATTCATCTTACAGAATTCTGCATAATTGCACTTAACCTGGATGTAGATTTACCTTCCCTGCACACAAAGCTTCTGCCAAAACTACAGACTTACAGAATGTTTTGTTAATCATGGTATTCTATAAAGAACTATTTATGCTTAAGGAACTCACTTCATAGCAAATGAAGTACATAAATGAGTCCATACTCATGGAATTCACTGGTCTTAGCATATTCACCATCCTGAAGCCATCTGGCTCAATGGAATTGGTGAATGGCCCTTTGAAGACTGCTAAAATACTGTAACCTTAAGGAATGAAGAATTGGGTCACATCACCAGGCAAAGAACCATAATAAGCTGTGGAACTTCCTGAGGACAAAGAGAATATGGAATGGGCATTGGAAAAAGGGATTATAAATACCAGTTTTGACCATATGAGCAGTTGCAGAAATGAAGACTATAAATGTTACACGTATTTCTTTATTTTCATAAAAATGTTTTTATGTGTGTATATGTTTTCTTCCTTCTCTTATCCTCCTACTATATAACATAATATATATTGACTTTGCATTTAAATATTGCTAACTCTACAGCATAGCATTTAAGGTACAGAATATAAAGTAGAAAGGTGAACATCACCCAAGGACTTTGCATACTCTTCTGGGGATAGGGTTAATATTTTCTGAATTATATGTAGGATAATTATACCAGGTTAGGAGGAAGTATGATTTTGTTATTGTTTTGATTAGAGATTAAATATGGTTTATGAGTATGGATGCCAAGCTGACAAAGGGTAGATTATGATGGTTAATTTTATGTCAACTTGCCAGGCTATATATCAGTGATGGCGAACATTTTGAGCTCGGCATGTCAGCATTTTGAAAAACCCTAACTTAACTCTGGTGCCGTGTCACATATAGAAAATTTTTGATATTTGCAACCATAGTAAAACAAAGATTTATATTTTTGGTATTTATTTTATATATTTAAATGCCATTTAACAAAGAAAAATCAACCAAAAAAATGAGTTTGCATGTCACCTCTGACACGTGTGTCATAGGTTCGCCATCACTGCTATATGTGGTGCCCAGTTGTTTAGTAAAACACCTGTCAAAATGCTGCTGTCAAGGTGGTTTTTGGATGTGATTAATATATAAATCAGCAGACTTCGTGTAAAGCAGCCCACCAACACAATGTACATGGGCCTTATCTTTTAGGTCTCAAGAGAAAAAAACAAGATACCCAGAAAAGGAAGGGATTTCTCTTCCAGAATGCCTTTGGACTCAAGACGGCAGCATTGATGCCTGCTGGAATTTCCAGCCTGCTAACCTGGGCTGGATATTTTTGACTTGCCAGACTCCATAATCACGTGAGCCCAATCCTTACTATAAATCTCTCCCTTTGCATCTGTACATCCCGTTGGCTCTGTTTCTCTGGAGATCCCTGACTAATGCAGAGGGTGACCTCTAGAAAGTGTGACCATGGTACTTAATGATGCACTCTTATTTTCTGACAACTTAGGAGTCTTAGGTTAGAAACCTGGCATTTTCCCTCAACACGTATTAATTCTGAGAGCAAATGGACTGCTCCACCATTCCTGACCTACTTGCACATGCCTGCATTAAATGTGAGAGCATAGATTAGACCAGCACACAGGGACCACTGTTACATGCAAAAGAGGTTCAATGAAAGAAACAGGTAAATTGACCAGATGGTTATTTGTCACCCTTTAAAGGCAAATACAAGAATGAGGCACATTAGATTGAGTGAAATGTCTTTATGAACATTTCTCATCCAAATCAGAGTTCAAGGACTCAATTAATACCATTGCTTCTCAGGAGGAAACTTTAAAAGTAATGAAGTTGCTTCAGAGGAAATGTAAATTTTTAGTTTGGGCCTAAGTGCACAATAGCAGCCTATTGTATTCCTGTTTAGTTTTCAGAGGTTTAAAAGTTTAGAGAACTTAAAAAAAGAGAGAGAGAGCAAACTGTAGCAACTACATGTATTAGGAAAAAAATAATTAATGTAAATCAAAATTGTGGGGACATAAATGTAACTATGGCATTTGTATGTAAGAGTTTCATTGTTGTCACATGCTTCAAGTTCTAACTCTTCAGAGAGCTTCAGCTGTTCCTTTGCTACTGATGGCCTTTTTCAGGGCAACTTTGACATCCTTGTTCCTAAGCGTGTAAATCAGCGGGTTGAGTAAGGGGGTGACAAAGGTGTAAATGAGGGCAAATTGGCGGTCCTCGTCCACGGAAGAGCTAGATTGAGGACGCAGGTAGACCAAGGCACAGAAGCCATACTGTAGCAAGACCACGGTGAGGTGGGAAGAGCAGGTGGAGAAGGCCCGGCGGCGGCCCTCAGCAGAACGGATGCGCAGGATGGCCATGGTGATGAACACGTAGGAGACAGAAATAAGGATAAAGGGGACAGTCAGCACGAGGATGCTCACGACATAGAGGACGGCCTGGTGCACACGGATGTCAGCGCAGGCCAGCCTCAGGACCGGAGGCACATCACAGAGGAAGTGGTTGATTTCCCGGCGGTGTCCACAGAAGGGCAAGGTGAAGATTAAGGATGTGAGCTGCAGGGATAGGTAGAGCGCCAGACCCACAGCACAGCCCACCATCTGGATGCACAGCTTCTGGGTCATGATGAGGGTGTAGTGCAGTGGGTGGCAGATGGCCACATAGCGATCATATGCCATGATTGCCAAGAGAAAACAGTCAGCACCACCAAGAGTGAGAAAAAAGAACATCTGGGCCCCGCAGCCAGCCAGAGAAATGGGCTTCCGGGCTCCAAAGATGTTGGAAAGCAACAAGGGCACCACCACGGTGGTGTAGCTGATCTCTATGAAGGACAAGTTGGACAGGAAGAAATACATTGGGGTGCGCAGGGAGCTGTGTGTGCACACCGCCCAGATGATGGCTGTGTTGCCACAAAGGATCATCAGGTAGAGGAGGAGGAAGAGGACGAAGAGAAGGGCCTGGAATTCAGGGACAGCAGTGAATACTCGGAACACAAACTCAGTGGGGCCGGACTGGTTGAGGACAGGGCTCCTAGCAAACATGTCTCCTGCAAAACAGAACAGAAAGTGCTGAATCTTCCTTTGCTGAGTTCATCTATTGCCTGAGGAAAATAAGGATTTTTACGTTTTGTTTCTGATATGGAAATTGCCTTATTGTGATCGAGATTCTAATTGTAATAAAAGATATGAATAATAAACCTTAGGATGATTCATATGTATGTTCCTGAAGAAAAAAAAGACCTAAAATAACTTTAAACATCAGCCCTTCAATATTCATCCATAGGTGATAGCTCTTTGCTTTTGTAAAAGATTCATATATATATTATTGTAGGTGTTTATTTTATAGATTACGTTTTGAATTATGAAAATATTCATGTTATTCTGGATGTTTTAGTCTCTTAGAGGACTGGGAACACATCTTTATTCCAAGGTACCACTTATATTTGACATATGCCACATATATTTTCCCTTACTGAAGTGTTTTCTATAAGACTTCAATTGTCAACCCAAATTTGAGAGTTCAAATATACTGGCAGGTAAGCTTTGGACATATGGTAGATAGAAACAAGAGTGGAGCTAGCTGAGATAAGGAAAGATGATGAGGAAACTAGAAATTTCCTAGAAGGGAAAAAAGAAAAGTAACCATTTTTCACAAAGTCACCACTTTCTGATAGATTTGTATTTAAAAAACTGTTTTTTTATGATAAAAAAATTCAGGAGATGATGGACCACTATTCAAACTGTTTTAAGGAAAAAAAAGTCCTGAGTAAGAGATTCTATCCAATCTAGTTGTCATCCATGTATTATAACATGAAAACTTTTAAAAAAATTGTAATAGTTCTGGAATTATATTGTCTACATCCATGCTGAAACATTAACTCAATAACTCAAATAATTACTTTAAAAAAAATAAAAATTAATTGTTGGGTATTTTGTGATACAAAAGAAAAGTTGTGAGAAATAGAACACAGTAAAACACAGTTATGTCTAAATAAGTATTTCAAATATTGTTTTTAAAAAACCAGAAATTTCAAATAGAATTCTTGAAAAACTTATTATGGAAAATAATTTTTAAAATATTTTTTAATTTATTTCATAAGAGAAGGAAAAAGGATGGAGATATAGAAATATTAATGATGAGAGAGAATCATTGATCTGCTGCCTCCTGCACACTTCACACTGGGGACTGAGCCCAAAACTCGGGGATGTGCCCTGACCGGGAAGCGAACCGTGACCTCCTGGTTCATAGGTTGATGCTCAACCACTGAACCACACTGGTTGGGCTAATATTAAACTAGATCTACAATCATAACTTTTATAAAAATATGAGAAATGGGTAATAAAAAGGCAAGATAGGTAATATTGTGCTAGTTTCCTCAAACTACATAAATAATAATTCAGTATAAACCAAATTATTATTTAGATGTGAATACTTCACGTTTTTAATTTTTATATTCCTTAACATTTAATGTTAATCACTTTAAGCACAAAGAGAATGTATTTTTCCAAATGTATATCATATAAATATCTTTCCCAAAAATTAAAGAGAAAAAACACAAAAGAATGAAGTTATAGTTTTTTAAAAAAGAACAAAATGAATAAAGAATTATATAGAACAAAAATCTTTGTTTTGTTTTTTTATTAAATTTATGAGATGACATTGGATAATAAGATTGTGCACCCTTTGATAGCTTAGTTGGTCACATGAAAAAACAAATATTTTTATTTTATTTTAAAAGATTTAAAAAAATCAAATTCTAGGCCACTAGCCAAATAATCGAAGTTATCCTAGAAAGGTGCTAATAATTAAGTAAAATGACTATTTTGGCCAGACCCCAAGTTCTTGTTTTATTATTTTTATTATTTTAGTTTTTAATTTAGAACTTTGCTTAAATTGTCATTTATTTATATTGAATTTATTGGGGTGACGTTGGTTAATAAAATTATATAGGTTTCAGGTGTACAATTCTATAATACATCATCTGTATATTGTATTGTGTGTTCACCACCCCAAGTCAAGGATCCTTCCATCACCAGTTATCTCTCCTATACTCTCTTTTACCTCCACCCACCAACCTTTCCCTCTGGTAATCCCATACTGTTTTCTGTCTATGAGGTCTTCTTTTTCCTTTTTCTTTCCTTTCCCTTTCCCTTTCCTTTTCCCTTTCCCTTTCCCTTTTTCCTTTCCTTTCCTTTCCTTTCCTTTCCTTTCCTTTCCTTTCCTTTCCTTTCCTTTCCTTTCCTTTCCTTTCCTTTCCTTTCCTTTCCTTTCTTTTCGTGCTTAATCTCTTCACCTTCTTACCCAGTCCCCCAGGCCCCCTTCCCTTTGACAATTGTCAGAAGCAGGATAACACATATCAGTTAGGACAATTAATGTAGATTGACATATACCTCTATTAAAATATAAAGTCTTTGTTCAGATTGAGTTAAAAAACAAAGATATTTTTAAGAGGCAAAAAATACAGTGTCATATAAAAACTATTACTCCTTTTATCCAAACATTTTCTGGAAATTCTAGAACATAAAATAGACCATGATTACCAACCAAAAAAGATGAGACAACTAATTGCTCCTATGAAAGCCCCAAGGCAGCCAACTGAGAAGTTTTTAGAAATAACAAGGAACATTTTTAAGAAGACCAATAGTTAACTAATTTGTTTTAACCACCTTGTTTTCTTTCCCTCTATAAACTACCCTGTGGGTGTCCACTCCACACTGAACTCCTCTACATCTTGATTCTTGTATTTCTTCCAGTTGAGGTTTCTGCTTACCAAGTCAATTGTGTTTGTTGATGCACCTGATATTATTAAAGTAAATAGAAGTGTATAAAATATGGAATTGTGAATGTGAAGAAGAATTTTTCAATGCCAATTAATGTTAATGTTTTGGAAATATTTGATAAAAGTGAGTTGCAAACAAATAATAATTTACTGATCAATTTGCTAAGATAGACAGAACTGCTATATATGTTTGAGGGAAAAATCATAAAAAATGATGTAGCATATATTTTTTCACAAATGTCTTTACATATTTATTCTATGTTAAAGACATTGATATTGCAAATTGAGGCAATGATTTGTGAGTATGGTTCATGCAAGAAACAATTCAGTTTGCAATAATCCATCAACAAAAAGCACACACAGACCTGGCTGGTATGGATCAATTGGTTGAGCATCATCCCATGGATCAAAAGGTCACTGTTTGATTCCCAGTCAAGGAACATGCCTGGACTGTGGACTCGATCCAGGGTGTGCAGGAGGCAGCTAATAGATGTTTCCCTCTCATCAATGATTTTATCTCTCTCTTCCTCTCCCTTCATTTCTCTGACATAAATAAAAACATATTAAAAAATAAAAGAAAAAAGCACACAGAAAAAGTTTGGTGAAATATCAGAAGTCTGGAGGTAAAATGTGCAAATATATGTTTTAAGTTGAATAAAGATTTTAAGGAATACATATAGTTTAAAATTAATTTTCTTATAACTGCCTTTTTAATTAACCAATCAAGCACTGGATCTAATTGCTTTGGATGAAAGGGCTTTGACTTTACATAAAACACAATAGTTTTTTTCCATACAAGCAATAACTACTTAGAACACTCAAAATCCAATAGTCACACAAATATAAGATCAATATATGTAATATAGTAACAAGACAAATTTAAGACATGTAATATTAAAACAAATTTATGGTGATCATTATAGCTTTTTAAAAAATGGGAATTAAAAATAAAGTAAAAAAATGGGAACACTTATTTTTATATTCTTAGCTCAAGAGCCATACAAAAAGAGCCTGAATTTGGTCTGCAAGTCTTGTTTGACTTGCCTTGCTCTGAAGTATTATACACAGTAAGTTAAGATCAACTAGGAAAAGAATAACCAATTAATTTTTGAAAGAGCTCTGAAGATGATTTCTTACCTCTTTGTAATTTACTTCATTCTATCAGCCATCAAAGACAATTCATACAGACAAAACAATTTTTTTTGAAATGCTAACAGTTTCTGCCACAGATGATTAAGGGAGCTCTCCTGACGTGCTTTCTGGCCCTATGTATCCTGTTCTTTAAGGATGAAGTGAAATAAGAATACATGGGCTTCAGATGTGCACAATCCCCTAGAAATAAAAAGTGGCGGGTAGGTGATGTCCTCGTAATATTTAGATGTGGGTGGGAAAGAGTGTGCTGTGGTTCAGGAAATGAGTCCGATGTTAGAATGTCTTCCTTAGGGTAGGTCAAAAATAAAGAGGGATAGCAAGAAGTCATCCTATGTCAGAATCTTGCATGGGAGGACCAGGCTCATCTTTTGCATTCTCCTCTTTATTCTTGAGACCATTCTTGCCTGATTTAGCCAGACAATTTAGTGACCTATAGCATGTCTTAAAATAATGGGTCCCAAAGAGGAGGAGTTTCCCCAATGGTCTTTCTTAAAACAAATCCAACTAAAATCATATTTGGAAAAAATTTCCTGAGTTGATCAACTGTGGCAAAGTTAATAGGCAAGTTTCCACATGTTGCTCACAAATAACTGCTGTCTAGGGACACAGGATGGTGTCCTCATTCCTATCTATACTGATAGGGACCTCTGGATGTTATGTTCTGGCAAACCTAACCAGTGAAATGTTCATGACAAGTCAGGGCTCACAGAAGGCCACAAGTGCACTAAAATGAGCCTACTTAGGAAAATTAGAGGTGTCATAAATGATTGGATTAGATGATGTTCATGGTCCCTTTTAACCTCAAAACTCTGTATTGTAATTTCTACTTCCTTTCTCTTAGATTGGACTTATGTCCCATTTATCACTTTTAGCTTTCTCTTTCCCCTGTCAGTCATATTTATATTTCTTTCTGCTGAACCCTGCCCTAGTCCTACTAATTTCTATGATGATAACTGTATTTTTAACTCTCACCCAACCAGGTTGTTTTATTTACTCTTCTTTTATTTACTTCCCTTCAATTTCATGTACTGTTTTACCCCTGATTCTGCTAACAGAATTTCTATTTTCAACCTCTCTATTTAATCCTGTAATTTCTTGAAAACCTTTCATCTAAGGATTATCAGAGTTTTTTATGTATTAGTCTACATATATATTATATAACAACAACAACAACAGCACATTAACTTGACTATTTATTTA